TTCCAGTACATGAATTCGGAGTCAGGCCTCGTATCTTGCTCCTACCCGCGGCCGTTTTTCTTTCCTTCCTGAGGGATGGAGGATTTCTCAGGACTATCCCGCTAGAAACCCTCCGCCGACAACTACGACTCGGAGTAAAGTTTGAGCGGGAAAACTTTCCTCGAATATGCTCTCGGAAGGTGTGTATGCGGCGAACAGCCGGAGCAGCACAGACAGCCAGCCACCTATCCCGAATCGGAACTTTGACTGAAGGTCTATTTAAAGCGGATTTTCTCCTTCCTTTCGTTCCTCGCAGAAGTTGCCGCCGGCACCGTCAATCCCTAGCTTGGAGCTCAGATATTTTACGCTGAGAATTCCCGCAAAACCGCCGTGGAATGCTTAAGGACGGTTCAGACTCGTCGAAGAGTTGCGCGCATCGCTGGAGTATTTTTGAGAGAGCTTAGCGCCGGAGAGATTGAAAATTCCATCTCGCGAAGTATAAACGCGACTTTGGGCGCCCGGGTCAGATGTCGCTGCGTCCGTCGGAGCAAACGGCCAGCAAAAGATTCGCACTCGATAGGATTCTTGAGAAGCGGTCAGGACAATCAGAGTGATCGAAGTTGATTCTGGGACCCAATCGTTTTTCGGGAATTTCCCCCCTTGCCCACAATCGTTCGCACACGCTCGTTCGACACCTTCGCTCATTAACCATCAGCCGAGGGAATTACTCGCATCCGCCATCATCCGTCGCCGTGCGTTCTCGGTCGTTGGACTTCCCATTACTTCGAACATCTCGCCCGCTCGGAGGGCGGAGGAGCGAAATCACAGCTAGGGAGTCCAACGTTGAATTCGTACCCGAGAAAGAAAACTCAAACTCTGTGTCTTCTCATCGCGGAGCTCCCTTCAAAAATAGAGTCCGACTGATGAGAGAGCGAGCTTCGCCTCTCGGCTTTAGTCCAAGTTGGAACTGCTCTCAACTGCTCGCGGAAATCCCCGCTGAGCTGTCGACTGTGGCTCTGAGCCAACAAAGTGAACCTCTGGAGTTTCAGTTCTCGGACTCCACGTACATCGACCACCGATTTGCCAGACTTCTACCCACTCGAAGAAAACCAAGATGGCCAGATAAGAATCGCGAGCCGCGTAGGACTTATTTGAGAGGTCTCAGAAGGTGAGAAGCTTTTGTGTACGTTCCGCTGCTCTCGTGTGAGTTCTTGTGTCCACATTCCGTGGGATACGATCGCTCCGGAACTCGAGCATATCCCCGTTGAAGAGTTCAACTTGAAGCCATGCCGTATCAGAGTCTGCCTTGGTTCGAAATCACATGGGAAGTTTCCAGCTAGTCGTGTCTTCTTCGCTTCTCACGAACCATTGTGCTCGACAGATTATTAGACCAGGAGCTCGGCTGTCCTACACCTCGAAAAAGGGCAACACGGGTCGCCTCAGCACTGAGAGCGATCAACAAGACGATGCCGATGCTTGAATTCCCCACCATGAAACTACGCTTTCAAGTCCCGTGTCGAGAGCAGCCCTTGTGTCCGAGCCATGCCGTGGTCAGGAGTGTTACTGCAATTTTCGGAGAGTGCTCATAGCCGTCGCTCCTCCTCGCCTTCCCCATGCACTAGGTTCAGAATTCCGGAACGTCACGAATGGGGTAACGAAAAAAGAGGATGAACGCAGGGGAACCAAGTTCAGGCGAACGAAACAAGAGCGAGAGCGGCTCCGAAAGAGAAACTAAATAATTGAATTCAGCAGACCCGCGCTATCGGAGTCGTGCGTGGGAGGCGCGGGAAGAAGCAGCAAAACTCGCTCCGTCGAGCGGCAGGTGACGAATTGTTGGAGCGATCGAAGATAGGTGGTGTCAATCAATGTCCAACAGGAAGGCATTCGTTTACGAAGCGGGAGCATTCCAGATAAATGAGCTGCTGAATATTCATCAACCTTTATTCATATTCATTAGTTCATCATTCATTAGTTCGGCCCTCAGATCCACAGCGAAATGACAATGGCTCAAGGCCAAGATCCAGATGCAGAGAAATCGACCAGCCAAGTCGGTCACCAGTTATCTCGCCTACATTCTCTGCTAAATGAATATTTTCGGTACCCGGCTCCGGTCATACGATGCCGCTCCACGCAGATGTAACACACAATCGGCATCATTCTATCCTGGTTCGCTGGGAGAGATGGCTTTCGCAATGAAGACAAAGGGCCGGCCGACTGGCTCCCTTCGCTGCCTCGTGGCTTACAGGTCACGTTCCGAGCCACCTGTTTGTTTGAAGCTGCCAAGCAATCGAAAATCGCCGAAATGCCTGCCGGCACTGTTCTCTGAGAGCCAGAACGATACTCGGCGCAGACTGGCCGACTTCGTCTCTTTTCCAACCGACCGATGATCCAAGGGTAGAGTGTAGCTTTCTCAAAAGAAACTAGAAGGGGGAATTACGGCTTTTGACACCGGGTTCAAACCTGGACAAACGTGCACGGCATGTAAGTCCCATAAAAGTTCTGTACTCCTCGCCTGAAATCGAGCCGAACAAACCTAGATTGGACGCGCTTGTTTCCTTCAAAAGACCCTGAGCCTCCAGCAGAGAGCTGACCGCGATCCCATTGCAGGAAATGAGTCGTCCAAGCAAGACTGCGGGTCGGTGCATCCGGAATTCAGCTCGAGGAGGGATATGCGCTACAACTATCCGCAAAAAATATTGGTGCGCGTCGAGACGCATCATGAATACAAACAAGCATTTATAGATTTATCGATCCGCCGCGCTTGTGAGCCGCGGTTTCGACCGCGAGGGTTTTCATGCTTCCCCGCATATCGCGGATTATTCCGACCCTTGACGCAGGACAGGAATGCTCGCGCCGCGGAACAGCGTCGTATTATTTGTCAGAACACCCCCTGCCGAACTCGGCCGTCTTCCGATGCCTATCCAATTCGTGATTTTTTGAGAGATTCGATATGGTAGTTCGACGCCTTCGCCGAGGATCTCGGCGGGAATAGGGCCTTTCGATCCATCGGAGGAGAGGAATTCGAACGGATTGAGGAACAGTGCAAAATCCGCCCTACGAAGGAGTACTCGACACGGGACCTTGCCCACAATTTCGAGATCAGAAGAAGGCAAGGGGCAGAAGAAAGACGGACTTGGCCGGGTGACCTGGGCGAACGACTTTTCGTCTCGACGGGGCTCCTCGGAAGAGACGAGCAAACTCCTCCCATCGTTCTGGAACTCGCTCTTCAGACGTAATCCAGCAGATAGCTAGACAGGTCGGACGGTCGCTCTTCTGTCGGCTTGCTTGCCCTGCCTCCAAATCGCCTAAAATGGACCTTAATGCGGCAGCTTGAGTGCGCGCGAGGCGAAGCAGCCGTCCAACTTCCTGCAGTTTGTTCTGCTTTTTTGGGACGGGAGACTTTTCGTGGCGTGGCAAGGAAAATCAAATAACGTTCCGCTCCACTTTGTCTCCTTCCAGCACGTGTAGACGGAGGCCCCGCTCCATCCGATGCAAGCGAGCTCCGTGACACGTCGAGTCCCGTCCACAAACTCAGAATTCGCTGCAGAAAACTCAACCGCATCAGTGATCCATAGGGAACAGAAGCATCTTCCGCCTGTTGACAACCAGAGGCGAAGATCGCGGGCTTTCATGATGTACTCAGCTTCTGCTGATCCTATCGACCGATTGCTCCTTCATTGGGGCTGCTCCGAAAAATTCAGGGTCGTAGCGAGCTGCTCCTCCGACGATGGCGAGGGACCGCCTGACGCTGATTTATTCACCTGATGGTCCTAATTACCCCGCTCTCCGAGCGAAAGTATCATAGGGGGTGAGTTGTTCATCGTTATGGTACCCTTTCCATCCTTTCGTGGCTCCTATACGACTGAGGCGACCATGGTATCAAGCGAAGCGAAAGTCTCTATTCTCCGTCAAGCGAATTTCGTCAAACCAAGCGAGAGGAGGTGCCAACGAGCTCGCTGTATCACTTTGCAGTATCTAGCTTGAGGATCGCGTGAGAAGATCGCTACATATTTCACTCCCGTGGAACAAGTACCAATACAATTGGTCGCATGAATAATCGATTCCCAGGAGGAACTCTGACGCATTTTCCAGAAAGTGAGTCTCGACTGGCATAGTCGGCGATAGTCGTAAGGGATTACTGTGGCTCATCGTATGCAGGGATCCGACGGAACGTTTTCAGCTCCTCCTGAGCCGTTTCCGCGGATCGCCAGACTGGTCCCCGTGCCGAGGCGAGCTGCCCCATGCTAGAAACTCCTGTCCGATACTAGTCTCACATTAGTGATTCCGAAACCTATGAATAGCGAGGCGGTCGTTGTCGATTCTTACGTTGAATTTTTCTCCCGATCGAATCTTCCGAGTGAGAGCAATATCGTCTTCCGAGCGGGCTCATCACCGTTTCCGGTCCCCTGCGTCAATTGATCGGCTGTCCTCGTTCTCTTATTCAGGAAATAATCGTCCGTTCGTTCGCTAACTGGTACGAAGTCTGATGTTCCTTGCAGTCATCCTCAGACGGAATACCCCACTCTTTTGAGTGAAAACCAGAATCTCCTCTCCCCTATTCCCCCTTGTGAGTTTCGTACCCCGACAATTTGCCATAACAGGGAAATATCGAATAGGAGAGAACTCGGGAATTCCCGCATACGGAGCATCAGCTAGTGTTATCAGTGGTCGATACAAGCATCCTGACGAGACCAATGTGTTATCCCAGTTTTCCGCTGCCGGAGAGGACTTTGAATGCAGCGATTGGAAAAGCTTCTTTGCGGCAGGAATGCAAGACGTTTCCATTCAGTTCCATTCCAGTTCAGAGGAGCTTCGTCAGCCCGAGTTCTGAGTTCTGAGTCGCGTATCGAAGGTCGGGCCCCGAAAAGGCGTGATCATGCAAATCGAGAGAATCGACTGCTGCATATCTCGGAATGAGCTTCAATTGTGCCGTGTACACTCGATCGCGCTCGCGCTTCCCTTCAGTCAGATATCTAGGAGATAACACTGAGCGCGACTCCGAGCGGCTTTCAATCAGAAGAATGACAACTTCGTCAGGGGAACGGGTTCCCGAAGACGACAAAGAAGCGTACCAGACTCCGCACAAGACACGGGCTCCGCACGCTCTGGTGGCTGATCGTGAGTGAAGGTTCCGGCATCAGGGAATATTGCACGCCCGCGATGTGTCGCATGGAGCGAGTCCCGTTTCCGTCGGTGTTTGCGTGTTCCATGCTTACGATGGAAATACGAACAAGCTTCAGCTGTGTGTGAGCAGCCAAAGGGAACAAGACATACGCCTGGCCACGAGGACTTCCTCGTTCGAGGGGAAAAACAAGCCGCCGTCGGGGCTGCCTCTCCGCTTTCTTATCGCTCGGCAGTCGGGAAGGAGCTCCTTGTTGGTAACAACATCAGGTTCGTTCCTAATAAGCTTTGTGGTGAGCGCTTGCGGTTCGAGAGGGTCGGCGGCCGTATCCGGACCCCCTGGATTCAGTGGTGCGCTGTCTAACGGAATCCTATCCGTCGTCATCGTTCGCTGCCGAAAAATGCCACACGGGAAATCGGGCAGAGACTACGTCGACTCTGAGCGTGAATGAATGGAATGATGTCGGGGGAACGATCCCTGTCCGTAGTTTCTGGGCCAGTAGGCCACCACAGCTTCGGTTTCACACCTTCCCCATGGGGATCGGTCGCTGAGTGGCGCCGAGTTCGATTAAGATATCGCTTTCAGCGAACGCAAGCCGTCCGATGACGTGACAAACCGCAAACGACCTTCGGCCTTTCCGTCGCGAACCTTCTCGCTTTGTACGATCGATCGATCGCGCTCTCACCCCTATGTTCTTTTACGTGAGACCTGCCCGGTGGTGCCGATCAACCCTGCGACGCCACGGATCTTATGAGCACAGCTTCGTCGCCCATATTGACGCGGTTGCGGAGGAGGAGTGGTCCACAGATCCTTCGAGACACGCAAGGAGGCGAAAACAGTCCCGGAATGGCTTTCCCCGGAACAAATCTTCCCCGGGATCTCATATATCCGTATTCGCACGATGGCAAGCCGGCTGTGATTTCGCCGACCGACTACGGCTTGACCGTGAAGCTAACCAAGTCGCAGGAGGTAAGGTTTTGTCGACGAACGCGTTCCGAATTGATTCTTCGAATATTTCCGTACAGCAGGAGCTGAGCCGACTGTTCCATGGGCTCTCCCTGAACTCAAGCCTTCCTCTTCTATCTCTCCGTTTCAGCTCAAGATATCGTGTCAGAAATCTTGGTTTAGAATTCGCAAGTGGTGGCGGAAGAAGTCCGTGTGGGTGCACGAGATAGCGAAAATCTACCAGGACGGCTTCTTCAGGTGAGTGACGTCTGGGAATTTCAGGAGTTCCCCGTCCGACTCACAATCAGCGGGATCCCACTCGTATCTCACACGTGTTCTGCGTAACGTTCCGAATCGATGGATCTACCAGCAAGGCTCTAAATTCCGAGCCATTGAAGACTGAATTCGGAAGGGTTCGCCCCCAGGTCTACGATTCCCTCAGCCGATGTTCTGGCGAATCCACGTCGGGAACCGGTCCGGAAACTTCTATGGTGCGCAGTTCTCGCACCGCTGATCTATTTCACCGTCGCGGATCTGGTCGACGTCATCCAGAGCTACATGCAGTATCCGGTGAGGAGGAATGAAGTCTGAACGCGCCGATATATTCGAAGCTCGAGCCGTTCTCGGCTGTTCGACGGTTTTCGGTCGAGGAAACCCGCGAGAGGAGAATCCTTTCCGACGGTTGGTGAGAGGTCATTCATCATCTCAGGTCATTTACACGTACGAGTACAAGACCAAGGATACGCTGCCTTTCCCCGACGTGACAATCTGCAACGTGAATCCTTTCGTCAGGAGCAAAGCGTGTGACAACACGTCAATTTTATTCACCGAAAAAAGCGTGAGGAATGGAGATGAAATTGTGAAAATAACGCCTTTCTGCAATCAGGAACGCAGGAAGAAGTGAGTCTGCCTATAAGTCTCGATCGGACGATATTGGATTATACGAGCCCATCGTCCGGATTCTCGTAATGGGAAACCAGCTGGGGGCGGCGGGGCGAACTCCGGGAGAACTCCACTGCGGGGGAGACTCCCGGACAAATCTCAGGCGCCTGGGAGATCACCGTGATCTGAATCGAATCCTCGAGCTGATCTGAAATCAAACATTTTGACTATTTGGTCCGATTCTCTGAAGTAATCCAGGTATCTGCGAACGTCTTTGCGGACCTAATGAGCGAGCCAAGCAACCAAATCAGTTCGACACGGGAATACGTGCCCAATTGGCCGACTGGATTAAAGAAACCATCGCTCTCGGCCCCGAAGCCAGCCGAGAAGTCTCCAATCTCGGCCACACCATGAGGTCGTCAGTGGACAAATGCAGGTACATGAGTCCAGGTCCGGCTTTCGGTTCCGGAAGCATTACTCAATAGGATCATTCACTGGAGCTGGCAATACCAGGTATCAGAGGGGCGCCCTCCGAAGCCCTTCGGCGCTGGGTGAAACTGGGCCGACTTTGCTCGATGCGGATCAGTGAAAGCTTGCAGGTCGATGCGTGCGGACGATTCGCGGGGAAGCGACGCCGACGGTAACGACTGCGCAGCTAACAAAAACAAGGGAAACCGAGAGGAGTGCGATAGCATTGAGGAACACCGCTAGGCGGAATCCAAACAATGGCTTGCTTAATGAGAGCTTTGTTATTCCGTTCACAGCTACGCATCGAATACCGACTGCACCACGAATATGAAACGATTCAAAGAATCGATGAGTCTGCTATACGGATCCTGTTTTTGCTTCCATTGCCAGGAAAGACCCAAGGAGAACATGACCGATGCGGTGAGTGAGCCGCTCAGCTGGCCGTGAGGGAACTAGGCTCTCGGACGCAAACAATACCTCGTGGCCAGCGGGGAAGCTCGAACAGAGTCGCTAGCCGGACTCATTTTGCCTGTCGCTCATCACGGCCGCCAGTTTTCAGGAGAAACAAGAATGGGAGGAAGAGAACAAATACTACGAGTACGGAACTTTGTCTTCGCCCTTGAGCGGTCTGGTCATACAATTGAAGACCGAGGTCAAGGTTCGTGGCTACGCGTGGCGCCGTGTACACTCTACTCGCATTGTTCCGCACTCGGCCAGAGAAGGAAGACCGTGCACGCATTAAGCGAGTTTTGACCTCGCAGGACTATCTTCCGACGTCGAACGAGGTTGGTTTCGTCGCGATGATCCACGAACATAATAAAGGCTACTCTGTTTGCGCGGACGCAATATACGTCCTTCCCGGCTACACAACGTACATTGGTGAGTACAAGTGACGTCGGGTTCAAAGAGATTACTGCTTGAGTCGACGAGCTTGATGACGATGACCTCGATGACCGAGGCCGCCGGACGCAGGCGACCAGAGCACGTCTACAGGGCGGGCATCTTGTTCTCTTGCTCCACAAGACATTTCGCTCTTGCGAATGGCCGGTGTCCTCCCGCTGCCCTTTCCCCCAGCCACGCACATCGTGCCTGAGCGCGGTTTTCGGTGGTAATCTCGGTCACGAAGGTGCGCCGCGATTCACAAGCCGGATTTCCGTGGAAAATTCTATTGTACTTTATACTTTTGTCCCATGCTACGCTCAGGACTGAACATGGCGACAACGAAGAACTTGCCCCCGCCCTATGAGGACGGCTGTAGGGAAGACTGGCCTCAGGCTCTGGTACAAGGCACTCTTGAAGCTCACGTCCCCGTAAGTCTAATCTACCGAGGATCGCTGAATGATCCGGACCGCTACTCTGGGCTGGAAATCGAAACGCATCACTGTATCCCAGGTGATGGAACCGACGACGAATAGCTCGTCATACGTTCGCGCGCAATGTTTAGAGTACTGTGAAATCGAGTACTTGATCTTCAAATGCAAATGCATCAAAGAGGATCCCGCCGCCAAGTTACACCCGGATTTGGTGGAGGATTACAAGTATTGCAAGACCCCGAGGAAAACGAAATGCGTTGACGACGCAATGAAGGATCGGACGAACATCTTCTTCCAAGTGAGTTTTCCGAGCGCAAGGCTTGCCTCTGCGTTCACCGCTGAGAATCGCGAGGCTCATCCTCCATCATCACATGTCGGTTAGGTAATTAAGTCATTCCCCCAGACCCTAGACCTTCTCAATACTTCATGACAGTTTCCCGGAGTATCGCGCACTAGCAGCTAGAGTCCCACACCGATCGCTTTCTCGGTGGAGATAAGGCTCCGAAAGGGGCGAAATTTTCTCGCGCGGAACAAGTTCTTTTCGTCGGGACCTATTTCCTTGGCTAAGTTTGATGACTCATCAATGATGAGCTTCCCGATACGGAGAGTCCCTCATGCGGGACATTGCCCGCACGCGAGACCGCAGGGCGATTCGATAGGATCCCGAGTTATTATATGTACTATTATTAATTTTTTATTTATTTATTTCTCATTTCCATTCATCGGAACAATTCGGACTTTCCTTCCTCGAATGAATAAGACGAGCTATTCGCTTCTAGGATCGCTGTGACTGCTGGCGAGAATGCGAGACAAAAAAATACGCCACTGACGTCAGCGTGGCCGGCTTCGTGTCCGACGACAACGTGACGATAGGTGATTGAAAAACTCGAGTCAGAAATTTTAAGAGAATCGCTCTCGGTCGCCTCGCAATCCCCACATCACGCTGTGCCCAGCAGCAGAGCGTACTCTTGGTGAAATCCTTGGAGCGCGTCTGAGGGAACTTTACGAGCGAACGATTTCGAGAGGACGACTGCGGACACTTCTCGGTTTGAGGAACTTTTACTGAAAATGTGCTCCTTCCTTCCTTCCGCTTTGGAGCAGGCAACCGATCTCAAGAGGAACAACTCTATGCGGAATTGGGGTCCGCGAGACTGGTCGTGTATTTCCACTCGTTCACATTCGAGCATGTTCGCGCTATCGCGAAGTACGACGAGATCAGAGTGCTGTCCAACATCGGAGGTATCAACGGGATGTATCTCGGCCTCTCGTTTTATCTCCTCTTCCAGGTGAGACAAGACGGCATGGCAGCTACCGCTATTTTCCGACAGACCGCTCCCTCGGTGTTGCACGCTCCTTCCGGCCCCCCCAACTCGCGGAATTTCCTTACGCTCCAAAATTTTTATCTCGAGCTGAATTGCTTTTGAGGCGTCTAAGAAATTAATGGATCTGATCCGAGTTTTCCGGACTCGGAGCTGGTCTGGTCGTTCCCGTAAAGAGGGAATCCCCTGGAGGGATCTACTTTCCATACGCGTGTGGAAATACATACGCAAATGTGTGCAGAAATATTCAGAATCCGGATCCGCAGAAAAAAATACACTCTGAACAAGCTCCTCTATATACAGCAGCCGACGCTCGAAACGTGACGAACGGACGCCGCGCCCGAGACCCGAGCCGACTCTGCCTGAGCCGAGCACGAGACTCATTAACATCGCGCGGTTTCTCGCGTAATCGATTTCGTTATCGTTTCAGGCGCTGGATATCCTCGTTATGGGAGCCATCCAGTTTGTGAAGAAGGTTCGAGAAAGTCGCCTGTCCTTCGGTCAGGATGGCAACGTGATGAGTTCGACCGCGGTTCAGACAAGTGCTCGAGGAGATCGGAAGCCGCGACGATCTCAAGTTGTTCCTCAGCAGCCAACGGCACCGGTATGACAAAGAAACCTCCTGTTTCCCTCCCGAGCACACGAATCCCCGAAATGCCGGAAACATTTGGTATACATTGACGACTTGTGCCCGAGGTCAGCGAGAGCTATAATCTCCCTCTGAGCCATGACCCTCGCTCGAAAATTTATCTCGACGATGCTCCGAGACCCCCGACCGAAAATCCGATTGTACGGCGGGCTTGCCGTGATTGATGATTGACGAGGAGGCCGCCGCAATCATGAGAGGTCCTTCGGGAGAGGAGGTCATGCACTCCTCTTCGAATGGACTCTGGCTCAGAGCTCTACTCGGTTGGCTCGGAGGCACTGCCTACATGAAATATATATTTTCTCTTCAAAACAAGGGGGCGGAAACAATCGACGACCCATTGGTCTTCTCGAACGATCAGGATGTAGTCCATTAGCGATAGCCTTCTGGGAGCTCGTGTCAGCAACTGCTCCAGCAGCTTCCGGCGCCTCGAACTCCCGCAGTGTTCTCCCTTGTCGGTTCTGAGCTGAATCGTCCCGTGTACGATGTAGAAAGACTTCCAGGCCTGGGTCGACCGCTCGTCGACTGCCTCGAGGGGTCTCGCGTTCTCGGGATAATCATCGTAAGGAAGGCTCGTTCCGACGAGCACCGATATCAAGCCCCGATCATTGAACCGAAGCTCCGGAAACAACTTGTCGGAATTCGCTGAGAGACCGAATGTTCGATTGCGACCGATTCTATATGGTCTCACCCGATGTCGAATCGGCGCTAATGAGTGATTGAGGGCCTTATTCCAATCGAACCCGATTCCGCACTCGTGATCGCGGCGAATCTCGAATATGAGTTTGAGGGGTTCCCGCGGCGACCGAGGTTTCCGAATCTAGCCGCAAGCCTGCGCGGTCGTTTCCTCGAAGTGATTTGCGTTCGAGAAATCGCTGTTTTCGCGAACTAAAAGACATTCATGTTTTCCCAGGAGCTGCCAGGATACTTCCCGAACAAGAAAAACATATGGGATGTTTTCGAAAAACCATCTGGAGGAACTTTCACCACAACGGAGACATACAATACAACATACGGTCCTTTCGCCATACAATACTACAAGAACAGCGCGCCTTAATCTGCTCGCTCTGAATTCTGAGATTTGGATCCATTGGGAGATAATAAGAAAAATAAAACAATAAGAGCCGAGAGACCGGCCCGAATGGTTCCCGCAGACGATCGCCGCAACCCTGATTGCTTCTACATCCGCAGGATTCCACGAGTGTTCGAAAAGAGCGCCAAAAAAATAACTCGCGTACATTCCCCGGAACGACCGTCATTTCAGACGATCTGCATGAGTTATTGTGAAAAAATCGATTCACACTCTCGAGCTCGCTCCAGTCGCTCTCGTATCGGATCCCAAATGGAAAATACTCGCTGTCCGGGCTGGACGGGAACGCTTTCCCGCTCGAGGTCCCAACGAGCTCAATGTCCTCTGACATCTAAATGACCGGTAATTACACTGGCACCTACTCCCTTTCCGTCTCAATGAACGGTTTACTCGAATCAGTTTCACTTTGTTGGACATCGATGCTCCTTCCGGGAGGAAGCCCCGCTAACCGGCTCAATAGAAAATCAATGTAGGTAAGTAACTTATGAGAAGAACGTCTCCCGATGCCTCACGAATATTTGATTCGTTGTCCGCATTCTGTCCGAGAGCTGTACGTTCCTCCCAGAGGCTCGAATGAAGCAGGGGTACGGTGGCCAGAGCATCTCCTATCCTCGTAGCATTCGTTTCCCTTAGAGACTGCCATTTAGATAGTCTCCCCGGATGATGAATGAGCCCGGGCTCACTAGCCATCGAATGGCCCTGCAGAGAATTAGTTTCTGACGTCGTAATCACTGAGAACGATCGGGACGTGTGCGAGGAAGCGACCGAAGTAGCAGAAAGACGATGAACATCCGCACGCAGTCGAGCCCGCGGACGAGGTCCAAGATGTCGCTTCTGCGGGACCCCACAATGGCTTGAATTTCGATGACGATTCGTTCGCTCGAGGGCTCGACATTCCGCGACGTCTGCAGGGACGAATCTCTCGTTTGGGGTGATTTGCTGCCGAATACGACGAGAGTGAACCATCTGCCGGTCGCTTGACCGCGTCTCCTCCCATGGGTTCGCGGGAGAACGCCAAAGGAGGCAGCCACGGAGGACCGTGGGGGAGTCGGACGGAAATGCTTTTCAGCATGGTAAAAACTGCATGAACTCAGAGGCTTTCAGAGCTACTGAAACGCGTCCCTCGTGGTTCGCCTCCAAAATTGAAGTCTCCCGAGAACCTCGTCCCTCCATCCGTCCACTCATAGCTCTGGGGATCGCCTCATAGAATTTACGACGCGTCGTCGGTCGGTCGCTTCCTCTCCCGTAGCGTGTTTGCCGCATTCATGAGTGAGATCCGAATGGGATCATGACTTCGGTGGGAGCGACTTCGCTCCATGAGTAACCCGGGAACGGGGTGAATGTTCCGGCGGAAGGTCGAAGGAGCTCACAAAAACTACAATGTCTGAATCCTGTCCTCCGCCTCGTCGGCGTCAGAACGGCCGCCGTTGTTCGGGTCTTCACGAATCACGGCTAGAATTCTCCCCGATACCAATTGTCAGCAGATATTACGCGTCGCGACCTTAAGTCCTTTCGCTTGTTGAGAGTTCGGAGTGTCACGGACGCAGAATCCGTTTAGAGTTCTGGAGCGATCGATTCCGGACGGCACCGGCGCCGTTTGGAGAGATGACTCGCATCCGAGAGTCATGAATCATCTCTGCAGCTTCGAAACCAGGCACGAGTTGCACGTCGTTCTAATTGACGGGAACCGCACACAACGGAGCGGCTGCAATCGGTAGCGGCGCTCTTATGACTTATTCATAACGCGAAATAAGTCACGATAGCGAGTATCTCGATCCATTCCACCATCAATGATCCCAGCGCGAAGATTACCAAAGCGAGAAGGGATTGAGCGAGAATTGCTGTAAACAGCTCTCGGGGGCACTCCACGATCTTGGGGGCGAGGTCCGCTTCGAGACGCGACTCATCGCTCGTTGTCGTGTGGCGGTTCATCTTCATTTCATTTATCAGTCCCCGTTTTTGAGATCCTGACGAGCTCCTGCGTTTCTCCAGCTCGGAAACCGCGACGTATGGGACAGGCACACGTCGCAGGCCGTACAAACAACTATTTCGTGGAAGCCTCATGGCCCCAAAAGCCCTCCCCGAGCTCCCCGTTGTTTCTCTCACAATGTCATCAATGGGCACTACCCGCCGCTTCCTCGCACGGGTAGCGACCGCTTCGCTGGAGGTTCAGCTGGAGAAACAGTCCATTTAGAGCGGAGAGGAGGAGGGTTGAAGCCGAAGAACGATAGCAGGAGAGGAAACAGTCGAATCAACGAGGTGGCTTTGTAGTAATTTGCTGGAAGTGTCTCGTTGTCAGCATGGGTTTGTCGTCGTCGACGAGGCTGTAATGAAATTCGACTGTGGAATAAAAGCCTCTTGCGTTTCGCTTGTCCCCCTTCCGATTTCAACGACCGACACCTGATGACGTTCCCGTGTGCTGCCTCCCGGCCTTCTCTCTGGCGTCTCCGCAGCCCTGCTCTGAGTCCAAGAGCTCGGAATGGCCCGGACGATCCGTTTCTGCATCTCGTATGGAGCTCTTTCGAACATCCATCCTCGAGTTCAGTGTCTCGGAGATGATTCGATCTGTCACTGCTCGAGAGGAAAGCGGGGTTCTCGTCGTTCTCGTGGCACTTGGTTGTTTGTTCCGTCGCAGGCCGTCGTTGTAGCCTCTTAAATATCGGCAAAACCCAAAGCTAGTCTGGAGGACGATTCTTGGAGGATGATTAAATCCCGTCGAAGGAAGCGATTCTCATATATGGACATAGGAGTCGGGTGGTTTTATGAGGGCTCGTGCTTGGAGATGACCGGACGGAGGGAATACGTCAACTGTCCTCGCAATCGTTCAAAGCCAATCTCGATTCGCCTCCTGTCGCGTGGAATCCGGAGGGTTCCTAATTCGTTTTGTAGGTTCCGTTGATCTCACCTCGCCGCGCTGAGAGCCATTCGTCGCAGAAGACGTCCCGAACACCGCGGAGCGGGAGAGGAAGAATGCGCAAACTTGTTCGAGCTGGACATTGGGAATTCTTTGAAATCCCACGAGCGGTCTCTTGCGGTGCAGGATTAAAACGTGCGTTTTTTTCATTTCTCCGACTGGTTTCTCGACTCCTGTATACTTGTACGTAAGCCGAGCGTTGCCCTCTCTCCGAAACGAGCTCACTGGGACTTCCCTGGCGGGTGGTCATGGCTCACACAAAAATTTATGGCCCCCTTGAGTGCTGCACGGCTTCGGTAATTTGCATCTTTGATCTTCTCTAGGTGCCCGTGTGAGCTTGTGGGGTCAGTGCTCCAGGTTCGGTCGACCGCCTGAGGATGAGACTTGAGCCGACATCGGTGACCTAACAATGAGCTGAGCACGGTACCGAGTAATCGCAGCGAATTCTGAGCGATATCGTCAATACCGGCGACGGCATCCGACCGATCCTACGGAGTGTGTCATGAAGCGGGTAATATCTATCGACGATCTCGGTCCTCTGACTGGATCGATTGACGGGAAGACTCTGAACTAGGAGTAAATTTCCCCGGCCTCCGCGACTGCAATGATTCCACTCGGGAACTAGCCTTGAAGGGTAGCTGCGGTCGTACATCCTCGTGGACCTATCAAGAAAAGGGGATAAGAATGAGAAACAGCCTAAACGAAAATGAATTTCCCCGTGGAGACCTCTAAATTTTTCTTCCGGAGCAAAGTCATTTTTCGCTCGTTTTTCATTCCTCGACGCGGAAGGAGGACAGGCATCCGGAGATAGAGGGTTCCGTGCAACTCACACGTCCCGGTTATATTTCGATGGTGACAGAAATATTCGCTTCCACAGGAATCCGGGGTGCGACCGGTGCCGCTGATTATGAGTGCAGCAGTGAGGCCCAAGCTCGCTTCATCGCTTGATGGGCGAGCAACGAAGCTCCTCTACGCGAAGCACGTATCCATCCCATGCCTCCGTCTGCCGTCACAACCCCAAGCACAAGGCTCGGAATGATCTGTGTTAACAATTAACTACCTTTCCCCGGCCAGAACCTCAAGAGGAAAACAAAAACGCTGGCCAAGGTTCAGGCGCCGCGCTGACCTTCCGCGAAGTATCGCCGCGCCAGGTCGTGGTAACGTGATGGTCGAAAGGTGGAAAAAGCATCATGTAGCGTGCTCTCTCGGAGTTAAATCATAGATTTTCGAAAGTGCATTTGGGACCCTCGTGATGTCTGTTCGGGTTCGGATCTAGAAATCGTTACTAGAATCAACGCTCCTCTGGGCAGAATCAGCCGAATCGTTCGAGAACGAATCGCGTCATTCTGCCCCCAACGTGTGTTCGCAGAGGGGAAGACCACCCTGCCCCGGTCGTTCCCTCCGAAAAATGACCTTTGACGATATTTTATTCATCATCGAAGTCGTCGGGATGCTCTGATTGAATTGATCAGAGAGACCGGAGGGTCCATATATCGGCTCGACTTCCGTACGGCAGACGGTTCACGCGGCAGCTGCTCTTATCTGACACGAGACCTTCCTTGACAAACTGCAGATCCAGCATGTGTTCGATTTTGCGACGATCGGATTAGCATCGCTTGCTCCACCAATGATGAGATCATATAGATTTAGCCACGGCCGCAGTCCCGGAGCAAACATAACCCGCAGAAGATTCGCGTCTTGCTCTTCTGTTGACCTCGTGGAATCAATGGGAATCACAACGGTCGGTAATCGAGGTAAAGGTCCGGAAAGTTTTGGGCAGTTTACTTTCTTTGTCGAGACTCTCGATAGAGTTGGTGGTTTGCCATGCGAGGAGCATTGAACGTTGGTGCGTCCAATCAGGAGGAGTTGAATGGACTCGACTGCTTGACTGAAGCTTCCGCTTATCTTCACTTCATCAGGACCTTCTCTTTTTGCTCTAGTGGATGCCTCTATCGCTCACTCACTCGCGCACGCACAGACACTCGCTTGCTGAACTATCGGCGGTCCGTTGAGCGCGTACTCAGGGTCAGCATCATCAACACAGAGCGGCATC